CTACACTTGTTTTCAAAATAATATATACATATGTATATGTTATATATTCGAACAAGTTAAACGTATATACAACAAATTCTTTACATTATAGAGATTATAAATACCATATATAGTTCTCTTCTTCTTGTCAAAAGTCCACTTAGGCCTATTCAATTACTTTAGAATTTCAGTTGACAAGCCGAACTACTTTTCTCTATTTCTATCGCGCTAGTATTCCGTGTATAATTCACTTATAATTATAGCGTGAGTTACCACAGTCATATACTGCTCTTCTAGTAATCGTCTGGTCCTCGTACTTCAGATATCGTCTGTTTCTTTTATCAAAGAGCACTCAGACTGGTTCAATTACTTTAGAACTCACTTTGACTGCTAGGTTTACTCTGACGTATTAATCGTTAGGCCTATATTAACCGTTAGGCCTTTTACTTCTACGGCAGTTAACTTTACGTTTAACATATCTTTGGCCGAACTTCTACTTCCCGTGACTTTACTTTCTCGTCTGCTATGTATGTCTGCTGTTCCCACTTGTCTCACACTATTTATGTATTTATCACTCAATCGTCTGCTCACCTTCTAGAAATCTCTATATCCTCGACATCAATAAATTCCACGCGATGTTCGATAGCCTCAATATCAATTAATTATAAACATAATGTACGATTCTTACCGAATTACGTAACTGAACTTGTTTTAAAGTTTACTTTACAATAATTGCTTTTAATTCTCTTGTTATGAATAAAACTACACAATCATAAAATATTCACTTACAAAATAAATAAACTAATAATACCTACACTAAACAGTCTTTTATATTATGACAACTAATACCTTGTCATTCTTATATTATTTAACTAATCTCAACATCCTGACATTTTTATATCATCTAATTAACATTCTACCAATCTTATATTATTTAATCAATATTAAAATCCTGGCAGTTTTATATATATTTAGATAGTATTAACTTCTTGATATTATCAATATATTATTTGATTAATACTAATATCTTGGCATTCTTATATTATTAAATTAATATTAATATCCTCACATTTTTATATTATTTAATTAATACTAACATCCTGTCATTTTTATATTATTTAATTAATACTAAAATCCTGTCATTCTTATATTATTTAATTAATACTAACATCCTATCATTTTTATATTATTTAATTAATACTAATATCCTCAAATTTTAACATTATTTAATTAACACTAATATATTGGCATTCTTATATTATTAAATTAATATTAATATCCTCACATTTTTATATTATTTAATTAATACTAACATCCTGTCATTTTTATATTATTAAATTAATATCCTCACATTTTTTACATTATTTAATTAACACTAATATATATCATTCTTATTTTCATTATTGATGATTAAGCCACCGCTTGAGAAAGATTATGGTGCTCAGTTACGTACTAAGTCCTTCATACACATCTTATTAAATGATTAAATCACATCTTATAGAAATAGCTATTTTTACCAAAACGAGAGGGAATCCTCAATAGCCGCGGCACTTCAAATTCTTTTAGGCAGGATTAGAGTAAATTAATCAATGAAATCTTTTTTCTTTTTATAAACTATATTTTTGTGCGCCAACAATACCAAGCGTGAGGCGCGAGTATACCAGATTCGATTTTATTACTCATCAGGATCTCTACCAGTCCACCCCCAAATCAAAATTCTTTTAGGCAGGATGAGGGTAAATTAATCTATGAGACCTTGGTGGTCAAATAAATCAATCGAAAGGGTTTGACCTCCTGAGTCCAAAACTGTAATTAAATCTCAAATTGGTCGAGAGGTGAGGGAACTATGAGCTAAAAGTTTGTACTTAGAAAAAAAAAAAAAAACTAACTCGGAGCCGTTCTCTGAGCCGATATGCCGCGGCTAAAAATGATGATATTATTTTGTATTACTATATTTAATAATTGAGCTTTGAAAGTACATTATGGTAAACTAAAATATATAATACTCGTTCCATGATTGTATCTTGTTTTTGCAAAATGTTAGAATTAAAGTAACCATAGAAACAGAAAAATAAAATCACTCGCCATTTTTGTATATATATCCAAGTTTATTAAAAAGCAGCACGAGACAGAAAATCTATAGAATTAGCATACAAGTCACATTCGGTTCACAAATGATAAATTAAAGTTCTTGAAACGTCTGCAAAGATAACAATAACCTCGATATATTTAAACATTTTACGTAAAGAATGCTGGAAGCATCTAGTTTATTAACCTGTACTCTGCAACTAAAGAGAACATATACAGGCTAATAATATATGTTTTATTCTAATCTGGCTGAACTTCGGCCAGTATTCGTGGGAAGGGTTAGACTGTCCTGGGGAAGCAGTTTGCTGACGTCACTTTACGTATTACATGTAAAACTAGCTTTAAAACAGGAAATTGTCTACCGAAATAAAAGTCTAAGCAAAATTCAAAGGTTTTTAAAACTTCTTCAAATATCTAATTTGAGTAATCGTCGTATTCCACTGAAGGATTCAGTTTACTTCATCTGTTACACACGAAACTCTTAAAGGTAGATTTACCAAGTTTACCATAGCAACTAACGGTATCGTCAACAGTTTTAACATGACCAACTGTGAGATTGACGACCTAGTGATATCATTATCAACTCTATCACACCAATTGTGAGATTGACGACCTTGTGATATCATTACCAACTATTAGATTGACGACCTTGTGATATCATTACCAACTGTGAAATTGACGACCTAGTGATATCATTACCAACTGTGAGATTGACGACCTAGTGATATCATTACCAACTGTGAGATTGACGACCTAGTGATATCATTACTAACCAACTGTGAGATTGACGACCTTGTGATATGATTACCAACTGTGAGATTGACGACCTAGTGATATCATTATCAACTCTATCACACCAATTGTGAGATTGACGACCTAGTGATATCATTACCAACTGTGAGATTTACGACCTTGTGATATCGTTACCAACTGTGAGATTGACGACCTAGTGATATCATTATCAACTATATCACATCAACTGTGAGATTGACGACCTAGTGATATCATTACCAACTGTGAGATTGACGACCGAGTGATATCATTATCAACTGTGAGATTGACGACCTAGTGATATCATTATCAACTGTGAGATTGACGACCTAGTGATATCATTATCAACTGTGAGATTGACGACCTAGTGATATCATTATCAACTATATCACACCAATTGTGAGATTGACGACCTAGTGATATCATTATCAACTATTAGATTGACGACCTTGTGATATCGTTACCAACTGTGAGATTGACGACCTAGTGATATCATTACCAACTGTATCACACCAACTGTGAGATTGACGACCTAGTGATATCATTACCAACTGTGAGATTGACGACCGAGTGATATCATTATCAACTGTGAGATTGACGACCTAGTGATATCATTACCAACTGTGACATTGACGACCTTGTGATATAATTATCAACAGTATCACACCAACTGAGCATACTACGTTCACATGCACACCCTAGTGGTGATTTTATGAATTTGTCTTTGTGTTTAGTGCATCTCCTAACTTACAATTAACTGTACTTGTAATAAAAGACAAATTGATTCAGAGCAAACCCTAAAAACTCTAAGCCTTAACATAAATTTTCTGTGAGTGGTTTAAATTATGTTGATTTAATCAAGTTTCTTCGTAGATCTAAAATAAAAACAAGCAACAACTGTCACCAACGTCTGCGTTCATACACTACAAGGCTTCGTCTCTAAGCCTAAAATACAACCTGTTCTTGTTCGCCATAAAACGGCGTATTTAATCACCAGGATATAATTAATTGAACGTTCTGTGAATTTCGTTAAAGGTTGTCTTTCAGAAGAAACGTTGGCAAATATTTCCCGAGATGGAACATTTAACGAGAGTTTGGAACAGAAGTTTGGTTAAAACTTTTGGAACGTAGTTTCGAAACGTTGTTTTTTTGTTGTTGTTGTTGTTCTTACTGTCGCATATTGAAACTAAAATCGGAAACAATTTTATTCAACGTTTGACTGAGAATTAAGAATGATATTAAGGAGTTTATTACTACTGCTCCAAGCGAAATATTGGTAACAGTTTTTGACCGCGTTCAAGACAGACTCTCGGAAGTCTTCCTGGAACTAGGCCTACTGGTACTATGAGTAACAGGAGGATCAGAGTCCGAATTCCTGCCGTTCTCCGCAGGACGACTGGTTCTTAAAGTCAGAATAACCGTATTCTTAGTATACCTCCTGTCATCACTCCGAGTTTGCCGAGTCCACCGGCACTGCAGGATGTCCCCGAAGGCCCGCTGGAAATCTCGGCTTGATCGCGCATAAATAATCGGGTTTAAACAGCTGTTAAAATACCCGATCCAGAAGACAGTGTCGAAGAGAAGCTTGGGAACTTGGCACTGTTCACAGAGGGCGCCTGAAAGTAGAAGAACAAAACACAAATATTAAACAAATAAATTCGTTCTGTACACGACGTTTTATGAATTAGATGTGTTTATATGATGTGTGAGTGTAATATAAATATTACACAGATGTAATTATATATTATATCTAGCTAATACAGAGTTACATCCAGAAATGATCAATAGAGTTACACGTATAAATGCTCAAGGTAGAGTTATGTACGAAGAATTCTCCCGATAGGCTTAATATCCAGGTAGAATAACACACATAGAAATAGTCCAGGTACACCTGTATATGGGTGTTCTCAAGGTACACCTGTATATGAATAAACACTTTACATATCCATGTCTGTTTTAGCGAGGTTAATTTGCCTGCCTCGAGCATTTCTATAACTAATTCTATGCAGCTTGTATTTGTTCAGTCAGATCTAGCTAACCCAAACATTGGTTAATAAACAGCTTGTATTTGTTTCAGTCAGATCTATTTATTAACCAATGTTTGGGTTAGCTAGATCTGACTGAACTGTTTATTAACCAATGTTTGGGTTAGATAGATCTGACTGAACAAATACAAGCTGTTTATTAACCAATGTTTGGGTTAGCTAGATCTGACTGAACAAATACAAGCTGTTTATTAACCAATGTTTTGATTAGTTAGATCTGACTGAAACAATCTGTTTATTAGCCAATGTTTGGGTTAGTTAGATCTGACTGAACTGTTTATTAACCTATCGCTGAAGCAAACCCCTCTTTTAAAGTTATAGTCCAAGAACCAATGGTGTTGTAATCTAAGTTGTTGTCTATTTTTTATAGTAATTGGTTTACAACTGTTTTTTTTTGTATGTATTGTTTATGGTTTTTAGATTATAACCTTTTGGTTTATGGTTCTTGGACTATAACCCCCTGAGTTTATGGTTAAACAACAACAACAGCAGTGAAACACAAGCATCATAAACATTAAACTTAAAAAAGGTAGCTTTAATTTTAGCATCGTGATGAAGAAAGATAAACAATTATTTAATTTCTTGAAGAAGGCTGAAGCATGATCGTCTTCCGAGATAGTCCTGAAAGAAAACGTGTAATGTGTTGTTTTTACTGCAGCATAACTTCTCATAATATCTTCTTTATATCCAATAGAAGTTAGAATTAATTAGTGACCAACCTTAGTTAACGTAACGCTTCAACGTGATCAGCCAAAACAGAAACTAGAGGTCGAGTCGTTTCTTTTTTAAACACGGTGTTTTTATACTCTGGTGCACAGCTAGTTCGAGATATTCTACACAATAATACATTTACTTAATTCTGTCTCCTTGTCACTTAATTCTAACCTGATCTATCTATAATTAACACTACAATAGAATCAATTGTGTCTGTGTATAAATAAACACAGTTCGTTCATTGTTAATTAGCAAAGAAATAAACACGTATGTTTCTATACATATTTTTATTAATGAGTGTATAATGCACTGTTAGCGAGAGTAACTTGTCACGTGAGTGGGGAATATCGGGTAATGGTATTCAGTCTTTGAACTATTAGTGGGGAAAGCTTTCGTCTATATCAACAATCGCTAGTAAACGATAAGAAAAAATTATATTCTGACGTTTCGGTTGATGGTAGCTCCAGATGAATGCGAATTGTACAGCCAATGAAACGTCGAAATAAATGTTTCTTTGTTGTTGTTGTTTTTAATTTTATTTCAGGTTATTGAAACACACGGGTATTTCTCCTAATGTTAGTTACTTTGGTGTAAATTTATCAATCTAAATACATCAAACAAGTAAGGTAAGATTAGTAATGACTTTAGAAACGTTTCTCAAGCAGAAAGAACAAATTTCCAATTCACAATTGAGTGGGACTAGACCGTTGCATTCGTGCTGAGAGGGTGAGTTGATTTGTTGGAGAGGAGAGTTAAAAAAATATACTTTTCAAGTAAAGCTATTTTCATAGTCTATAGTAGAGAATGCACGACTAATGTTTAAAAACCAGATTTACTGGAATGTTCGATCTCCTTCCATGATTGGCCGATTAATCTCATCCACATATATTTACCGTTTAAAGAAGAAGAATTAAGACATTTTCTGGGAACAACTTAAAGACAATTTCTGATTCGAAAGGCTTTTATAAATGCAATTCAAAGTTTTCTTTCAAGTAAAAAGGATCACACTAGAAGAAGTTTTACGCACGCAATTTAGCCCACATTTTCAAAGAAGGCCAGTTGAAGCCACTTTTTCCAAAAGCCTCAAGTTATTGATGATATAATTCGCTGGAAATATAACTATGGTGTTTTTGTTTATGAGTGCCAGTCTGTTTTTTGTAGTTTCTGTGTGTTTGCCAACTGTATGGATTATAGGAGCTAACCAGTGATGTGTTGTAAGCAATGGCTCATTTCACTTTTCTCAATAGGTAGTTTCATTAAATCTTACTGATTAGATTATTTCAAATTAATTGTAATAGTTTATTCAATCAATTCTCACAGCTGTGGAGATTATTTTGTATTGTTAGCTTAGTATATAAATGTAGGACTAGCTTTCATCTCCTAAACTGGATGAACCTCGTGGGACATTATTGGGATTACGGCCGAAAACATCGTTAACGTCAAGGGTGCCCAAGCGATAATTCAATGTATTCTAATAATGATAAGTTTCGGCTTATGGTGTATCTATCAGTTTATAAAAGTAAGTAGTTCTAATCAGTCACACTATGTAGTATCTGCACTCTGTCCACCAAAGAATATCAAACTCCGGATTTTAGTGTTATAATTTCATAAATTTACACCTGATCCGCCAAGGGACAGAGTTGCTTTCATCAATTCCTGAGTTAGTTTTTCGAGTTGGTTTACTTTTGATCAGAGGTTCTTATTCACGAACACGTGTTTTGTTAATGAATAAGTTGAAAGTGAGAAGAGTTGTGTGAAACTACCGAAAGAGTGCGCTAAAGTAGTTGTTAAAGTTACGACAAGAATTTCACCTTTCGTATTAAGAAAGATGAAATTGGATTACGAAAGATGAATAAACCTTATGTCATATTTACGGATGTGTCTAACTAATCACTTGTTTCATTATCAATAAATTGGCTAAAACAGTCACTATTCAACAAAGTTTACATAGAAAAGTGGGAGTGGACCTACTTGACCAACCAGAACCCAGACTGCAGTCAGCAAAGTTTACAGAGAAAAGTGGGAGTGGACCTACTTGACCATTGTCACATGACCGACCAACCAGAACATAGACTGTAGTCACCAAAGTTTGCAGAGAAAAGTGGGAGTGGACCTACTTGACTATTGTCACATGACCAACCAGAACCCAGACTGCAGTCACCAAAGTTTGCAGAGAAAAGTGGGAGTGGACCTACTTGACCATTGTCACATGACCAACCAGAACCAAGACTGCAGTCAGCAAAGTTTACAGAGAAAAGTGGGAGTGGACCTACTTGACCATTGTCACATGACCAACCAGAACCCAGACTGCAGTCAGCAAAGTTTGCAGAGAAAAGTGGGAGTGGACCTACTTGACCATTGTCACATAACCAACCAGGATGAAATTATAAGATAAAAATAACGCCCGTAGAATGTTCGAGAAGGTGAATATTTAAGTAAAACAATCCTTCATACTAAATTCAAGAAAATGTTAGTTTTCTTTCCTCGTGTTCATCGACTGGTGTTTTTGTTGTTGTTGTTTTTCTGTTGGAGAGTGTATGTAACAATTTCCAAGTTATATTCAGAGTTTGATGTAAATTCCTTTACGCACCCCTAACCCAAATAACTTAAATTACTTAGGGTATTTGAATAACGTGTGACCATAATGTCACAACTAATTACCTATAATTGTTCAAGGGACCAGCTGGTAAATTAATTTATGAATTTTTCTTCTTCTCTATGAAAGTTCAGGGAAGAAAAGAAACAATACATGAATGACGTAGAGCCCTAAGTAGCGAATCGAAGAACAGATTAGGTCGCTACGTCATTTACGTATTATTTCTTTCCTACCACCACCACCACCCCCTCCAGTAACTCAGCGCTAAGTCTGCAGGCTTACGACGCTAAAACTCAGGTTTCGATACCTGCAATAAGAAGAGTACAGAATTCGTCTTGTGCTTACTCTCGAAACGACTACTGCGTCAAGAAATAATATCATTTAAACTTGACTTTAACGTTATTGAAACAATTAAATACGATGGAAGTTAAGACTAATTATTTTATAATGTTGACAAGAAAAAAAAAGTGCTTGACGAATAAAAAAAGAAATTGGAGCCATCTTTAATATATTTTATTGTCACATTTGTCTGGGAAAATACTGGTCAAGCAATATGCGAGGCTTACGATATCTGAGCGGAGAATTTATAGCATCACGAGCTATACAGTTTTACGAGACAATGCAAAGGCCCTAAAGCATTGTTTGGGCCAGCCGATAGATGGCAAAGACTTTTCTGACTTATGTTTTGTTTTATAGCACTCTTTATTACAGCCTACACACAGTTTATTCAACAATGCAAACATTTAGCGTGTTTTAGCCAAGTTCTGGGGTTTGGTCATCAGCACTTTCAAGTTTATAAGTTGTGTTCACTGGGGGCTACTGCTTGAGCCACGTGTCACGTGCAGCATCATCATGATTCATCGTAGAGGAGGAGGAGGGAGGGGTGCAGAAAATAAGGACCAATAATTTTAAAAAGTGTTGAATACAGCGTAGAGGAGATCCAGATTGACTTCTAAACATTGGGGATAAAAGGACGTTATATGATCTGGAGAGACTTGCTTTGAGTTTTACATCGTCGAATGTTGGTTTAAAAGTGTGACTACTATCAGAAAGTTGGTTTAAAAGTGTGACTACTATCAGAATGTTGGTTTAAAAGTGTGACTACTATCAGAAAGTTGGTTTAAAAGTGTGACTACTATCAGAATGTTGGTTTAAAAGTGTGACTACTACCAGAATGTTGGTTTAAAAGTG